TTTTTTTCTCTCTCTCTCTCCCCCTCCCTCCCTCTCTTCCCCCCTGTTTTTCAGCCGCGCGAAATTATTTTCACTAGCTAGACGTTCATCATCGCGCCAGCACGAATTTGCAAATTTTCCATAGCTGCTCTTCAACGGGATTCGTTTTGCCCCGGTTCCACTACGGGCGTAAGCGACTTTTCCCATACACCTGCGCATTTACCATCGCGCACCTCCCCACGCTTTCCGTCCCACCTCCGCGTTCAACCACCCCTTCCTCCTGCCTCTCCACGCCTCCGTATAGTCTCTCGCCGACCTATCTCCTCGCTACGGCAATTTCAAAAAAAGTGCATTTTTCAAAAAACCATAAGACTAAACTTCTCCTAACTGTACTCCTCCTCGGCCCCGACGAGACGAAGAAAATCTATACGCTGGATGGAAACTAGGCGCGGAGCGTTCGTTCTACGGTCCGATTCAGAAAATGTTCTCGCTTTTCTTCCCTGAATTCTCGGATAAAGCGGCCGCTTGTATGACAACGCATCGACTTTTGCGGAAGATTCGAATTTCCAATAATCATCAATTATTATCGTAAATCGAAAGTGGTATAATAGTGAGCGATGGTCAGAGTGACAGATTCGCCCGGCGTGTTCCGTTCAATTATTTTCACGAGGAGAGATGAGATTTACTTTTGAACGTGTAGGATGAATCGCGAATTTTCGGACCGACGCTTTTCGCCGCAGTCGCGTAATTTCGATTTGCAGAGAGAATTCCGCTTTCTCGCCCGTTCATCCGACTCGGCAAAAGCTTTCGACGATAGCGTATGAAGCAGCCTGTACGCAGAAGCGCTTCGTAGAGGGGAGCGTGGGCGAGCGGGAGGATGGGAGCGGTGAGGAGGGTAGGAAAGTGCGCGGTGTGCGCGCTGTGTTCGCTGTTGGCGAGCGAGCGACGGCGAGGAGCGGGACGAGCAGGGTATGCGGCGACGAGAGAAGGACGTCGAGCGCGTAGTCGGACAAGGATGGAAGGCATTACTCGTGCATGGGGCGTTACCACGGAAACCCCTATTCGTTCTCCATCCCTTCGCTCGCTCGTCAGGCAGCGCAAGAGAACGAGGGAACGCGAAACGGGGGGTGGAGAGGGAGACGGTGACAGAAATAGAGGGACCGAAAGGACGACCGACAGAGAAAAAGGACGAAGCGAGGGGGAAAGAGAAAGAGAATCAAAGAGAGAGGGAGAGAGAGACGAGAAACGAGTTGGCCGCGCGAGTCGATGGTAGAAGGAGAGAACGAGAAAGATAGCGGGAGTGGGAAAGCGAGCGGGGGGAGGAAGAGCGAGCGATTGCGCTCGGCGGCGGGTGGGAGCGAGAGAAGCGGCAGCGCGATATCGAGAGGGGGGTGGGTGATGAACGAAGCGAGAGGAACCGGGACGGAGAGCGAGAGGGCGCATGCTGGAGGAAGATAGCCGGCAAATGCGGAGCCGCCAGTGCAATCAACCCGTTGCCCACTCGCGAGGGTAAAACTATCCCGAAGTCAGACGAGGATACGTATATTGCGGAGGGAGCCTCGTTGCTATATACGTATATATGTATATAGATATATATATACATATATATACACATATATACACATATATATACATATATATATATACACACATTACATATATACATGTATATATATATACACATATATATAATACATATATATTATATATATACGTGGGACGTCGAGTAAGTAGGAGATGTGGAGGGAGGGAATGAGCGCGGAGAGCGAGATAGAGACGGAGGGTAAAAGAGAAACGAGTGCCCGGAGTGGAAAAAAGACCACGCGAAATTACGAGATTAGATGCCTGCTACCTGTAACGAGACCCCGTCGATAAAGCAATGCTTCGCGCTAAAGATCCCGAGACCATCATTCACGCGTGCTTTTTTAATTCGATCCGCGCTCCCGACCGCAACGACGATCCCCTCGACGAGTGCTGTCTACGCGCTAGGTGCGGGCGCACTCTCGAAACGCGGATATACGCCGCTTGGAAAGATAATTCCGACGAATTGTTCACCTTGTAGTAACGAACGGTGGTGGACGGACGGGAAAACAGGGTCATCGTCCATCCACCGTGCGCGTTAAACCCATTTCGGTGTCGTAATTGTGAAAACTTTGTTCCTGCGTCGCGTTACAAAACTCGCATTTTACATAACGCGCTGCCGGAGAGTATACCATCGATATTTCTCGCGCACGATATCTCGAGTTACGCTCCAGTAGATGAAAAATCTGAAATCGGCGTGTACGGGAAAGTCACCTCGCCGTAGATCCTTCCAGGTGATTCGCACATTCATATTTCATTCGAAAATATTTGAGATATAGTTAGCCTTGGAGCGTGACAGGAACTGAAGTTAAAAACGTTATTGTTGTTTGTTGCGATTTCGAAACGTCAAACAATTTTGAGTCATCGGCGGAAAGGAACGAAAATTACAGGTTTGCGTTGAGTTATAAATTCGTGGACAAATGGATCTCCGAGTCATCAAAATCACATTTTAATAGATCTTTATTTCGACTTAATGTTTATTGTTCATATACATAGTATTAATATTTTAATATAAATTCTATGAAAATTTGATCAAAGTAAATTTTGAGTTGGGGGAAGAATCCATAGATCAGAAAAATTATAATAATTCTGGGGCGGTCGTTGGTATTTCTGCGTAATCGAAAAATTTATATTACTCCAACATAATTATACGCGAAAACTGATACACGCCAAAGTTAAGCTTTTACTAATTTATGTCCCTGTTCCGCCAAACGGCACATATGTAACATATACGTGCATACGATGTTAAACTTATGCGCGAGGGTGTCGGAGCTTTCGTTCCTCGTGGCTGTTGCTGGTAAGGCGCAGTTGCTCTATTCTCTTGAAACCAGTTTTCCTCCACATGACCGTCGGAGAAGGGCAGACGGAAAGAACGAGAAAGAGAGAGGAAGAGGGGGAGAGACTGAGAGAGAACGAAAAAGAGACAGAAGTGAGTGAGTGAGCGAGCGAGCGAGCAAAGAGGACGGGAAAAAGAAAGAAAGAGAGAGAGACGATCACGTGTATGTATGCCCGCATGCACGCACACACTCCAGCGTATCCGTAAATGCGTGCATACACACGCGACGCACACATACACGCGGGGCTCCTCGGCGCACGCACGTCAGCTAAACTAGAAAGTTGCTCCGACCGACGACGTCGGTCGAAGAAACGCCGCTGTTCGAGCTAGAGCTACCTTTCGAATTTCAACCGCGAATATTTTCTACGTATAAAACGCCGCTCGCCGCGTTGCGCCGCGCCGCACCATGCCGAGCCGAGCCGAGCATGCGCTTCCCAGCGAGCTGCAAAATTCGATCGGCGCGCGCGCGCTCGCCGCACTCGATTCTCTCTCTTGCCGGCACTAGCCCACGTATAAAACAATGCGCGGCGATCGAACGCAGCGTTTTCGAAAGCCCCCGTGTATCCGTTCCGTCCGCGTTAGCTCTCTCGCGAGCGGCGGCGAGCTCGCCACGGATCGGTAGGTGCGATCGATCGAGCGTATATTTGGTCGGAAGCCAAACGATGCGCCATCGCGTATACATAATATACTATTGCTACATGTTATACTCCGTATATAATGTACGCGGAGGGTCTTGTTACGCTTTAATATTTTATATCGCGCTGCCTCTTCTAAAAGCGTCACGATTGTAATTTGGAACCGATGCTTGACCTTTTAAGTTTTACGGAAGGACCGCAAAGTTCGTTCCTGCGAAAAACACTTCTGCCTCCATCGGATATCGGAGATTCCTACCCTCCGCGTAAACGGAACGCTATAATTTAACCGCGAAATTATCAGTAGTCAGTATCAACGGTGGATTCCGCCGCTCCATAAACCAGAGTCTCACATCGACGGGGAGGAGGGAGGGGGGGGGGGTGGCATCACACCTCGGCGATGCATCGCCGACGGATTAAGGGGACGCGTGGATCCACCCTGTGTCGTGAAAGCTGGCCGCACGGCAACCCTCTTTGGCGTTCCGGCGAGTAGAAAGTCCGCCGGTAGAAGTATTTCGCTCTACGCCGAGGCAACGGCGACTTCCCGCCGTGGCGAGGCGAGGCGAGACGAGCTGAAGCAAGCTCTGTCGAGGAGGCGAGGCGAGACGAGGCGAGGCCTCGGAGCGTGGGTATCAGCACGGAACCGAGTCTACAACGCATTAGCGCGGCGTTGTCACGTTTCGAGGTTCTCTCTCTGTCTCTGTCTCCCTCTCTCTCCCCCCTCTCTCTCTCTCTCTCTCTCTCTCGTTCTCTCTCTTTTTGTTCTTCTTGCCTCTCTCCGTCTCTCCTTGCGCCGCCCGTTCCTTTCCCTCCCTCGCCGTTCCCTTCCCGACGCCTCGCGCCTAGCAGTACCGACTCGTTCTTTCTCTCGATGCCTCTCTCGCCGCCGTGCCGCGCGACGTTGCTGACTCGACTGGCGGGAAAACTGGCTCTTCAAACGGATTTTCCCGCGACGGGCATACGGCACGGGATGTTTCTCGCCACTTTATGTTGCCGCTTTTGTGTCCGCTCGCCGCCGCCTGGCCATCGGTAGTACAGGCGTTTCGCGAGCATTATCGACCGTCATTAACTCCGCGCCGAACGCCCGACGCGTCGGGTCGCGTCTATTTTAGCGGAGATTTACTCTGACGCTGGAATTTTTCGAAAACGCGCCCCCTCCGCACTCGCGAACAATGAGCAACAGCGTGACCGCATTTGTAGAGAAAGCGATAGATACATCCGTTGCACATGCGGCGCGCCTATTTAACCACACTAAAAATAGAATAAATTATTATTTTTATATCATTTCCAAACTCTTGCCGGTATAATCAATTGAAACTAAAACTATATTTAAAAATATACTCATTATAAAATCAATTATAATAATATTTATCATTGTCGCAATATTTAGCGATATAAATTTTTTTATGATACATCAAATTTGAAAGTTAAAATAACATTGACTTACGATCCTTCTTTTCTTTCTGTTTCAGCATAAAACTAATGAAAGGGAAGATGTTTTGGGCCTAAAGGTAAGCAAATTTTATAATCTAATAATCACATTCAATCTCTCGTTTATCAAATTTGCGATAACTCCGCACTGAGATTCATATTTGTAAACTCATTTGAGAATAAAATAGGGGAGAGCGCGCGGTAATGGAAGATATAGTAGATTTGGGGCATTACAAACACGTACACATACATACGATAAAAACCATGTCTATTGTATTATCTTTTGTGTCACGCGTGACGCTGGTAGCTCTGAATGTGTGCGGCAAATGGAAAGCTAATGACCGGAAACAGGAATACATTAGGCAGGTTGACTCGAAGTGAAGTTTTCCGAATTTACCGCAAAACATTCCCATGTCCCCCTGTAATATAAAGTGCACTTTGGAAGGACTTGTCCTTCGCAGCTTCCATCTACCGCGCGATTAACCTCGTTTGGCTCCATATTGCGAGCGATAACCCTGACCATAGACACCATTGTCAAGCCGATTGCATCGATTGTTCAGTGGATTAATTAAGAGACCCACGAGACGAAGTGTAGAATGCCGATATACGAATCGATTATAAGACACATATTTGACTTTGCATTCCGAAGAAAAATCTTTGTTGATATTTATCGCTCGATAGCCAAGTGATGATATTAGAGATTCATAAATTTTAGAATCGTGATGTTTATCCTTGAAAATGCAATCAAATTGCTTTCAGACAGAGTTATATTAAATCGCTGCGTTATTAATAATAAAATATTTCATTCCGAAGGCATAGAGAGACTATATTTTGAAAATAAATGTTTAAAGAAGATTTTGGGAAAGCGGCGAGCTTCACCGAGTTGTTATGACGCGGTCTCTTGTTTCCCAAGCTCGGCGTCTTCGCGAGGCCTCGAGCGTCCGATGGCGCGCGTCCTGTGACTTTGGAAATAGAAAGTCACTTTGAAAATAGGCTCCGAAATATGCACGCCTGGCGAACCCTCCCGCCGTCGTCTCGGCTAAGAAGAAGAAGAGGAGAAGGAGGACCGCGGTGTGGAAGATGAGGCGCGGGAGAGGCGCGGGAGGGTAAACGCGGTTTTAGACTACAGACTCGGCGCGTCGGCGTCGGGTTAAAATAACAGTAACAGCGGCGGAGCCGGTCCTCGTCTTCGTCGTCGTCTTCGTCGTCGTCGTCGTCGTCGTCGTCGCCGTCGTCGCCGTCTACATCGTCCGCGTCGCATTTACCGCTGCTGCCGCCGCTGTTGCTGCTGGCTCGTATCTTCCACGAGCTAAGCTGGACGGCGATATCGATGACGCTACCGCGCCGGTTGCGACATAGCCTTGAGCGCGTTGTGCGTCGCGCTGAAGAAAACTAGCTGAATCTCGAAACCGCGTCGTTTGGACTTTTTACAGGAATTTTAATATCTCTCTGTCGACTCGAAAGATTCTTATCGCTTTCATGAGCCGCAGTTAAATTCTGATCTGCACGCTTAGCAGTCGCGTATTACAATCTTTCGAGCGGAGTTTTCCACTTGTCGCGCGAACCGCTCCAGGTACTCGCGTGTTTGTCAGAACGAATTTATAAATCTTGATGACGAATTGTCATGTTTCTGTTTCGCGAAACTTTCGCACCGGTATAACCGGACAAATTTGTCGACGGCGCCGGTGCTTTTTACAGAAATTATTTAGCTCGTACTTCCACGAGTTGATGTATTTGTAGACTTTCGGACGTAAACTTGACAGATGACGTACGTCACTTCTCGCAGTCTCTTCCATCATTATGACAACTATTTGCTTGTTATTATTATCAATGTTATTCTCGCGGTTAAAACATATATCATAAATTTGATAATTTGTCGTTATATGTGTTCAGACACCTTTATCGTATTATCCAATTTTCGAAACAAAAGCTTGTCAGACTTCACTGCAATATTTGTCTAATCTTTATTCTATTTAATCAAGACATAGATTATTGTTTTCCAAAGCAATTAATTCGCAAAAAGATTCGTGAAAAAAAATCTGCGAATAAATGCTACTTTCGTCTGGAGAGACAATTAAAATTGAAATATTTACGCAACTCTTCTAGAAAACGCAAATATAAAATAATTCAATAGCATGAATGATATACGTAACAGTAACCTTGTTATATTCCCTCCAAAATTGTTATCATATTCAGTATCGATTAATACTTTGACTACTAAATTTATTTTTCAAATGCATTATTTATATATACTGCGCTTGAGACTTTATAAAAAAACATTGGCGCTGAGCTTCACGAATGAGTTCCATGATGCATACGATTGGGGTTCACCGGCGAGACCCGCGGTGTCGAAGTATCAAATAAAAGTGTCGATATAATATTTGTGAGACACGCGTGTCTGTACATTGAGAGCATTATGGGCTCAAAATCTTGGCTGCGCGCGATCAACGGGTTCTCTCCGCGCAACGGCGAGACGAATTTTATTTTCGTACCGTTGTGGCGTCCCGCGACCCCGATGCCACCGGCTGCCGTCATCTCCCTCCATATCTTGCTACTCTAGCACGCGGCTGACACTCGTAAATCCAAAGCCGCGGCGTGCGATTGCCGTCGCGGATACTTCGATAATGCTCGGACGGTGTCAAACATCGCGTACGTGTCGGACAAGCGGACAGCATCGAACGAGACCGGTTCGCGACTGTTCGCATTGTGAGCACTCGAACATCATTTTTTTCTTTACAAACGATCATATATATATATATATATATATATATATATATGATCCCTAGCTATATATATATATATGATTTGTAACTTTATTTCTAATTTTTTCGAATTATACGAAACATATTTTTGATGCTAAAAGAACAATGCGTGTAACGTGATTTCGATGTTCATCGTGCGAACGATGGTGCGATATTTTGTTTTCTTTTCAGCATTCTTGCATTTGCTTCAGATTTTTCCAGATTTTCTCATATTTCGTGTAATTGCCGTATAGGAAAAGAATGATGTGAAAATGCGAGCGTAACGCTGCGGATAATTGCGAAAGAGCGCCGTTTTGAGCGTGCGATTTTAAGCCTGATTCGCTCACTCGCGAGCGCGCTCGGCTAGGAATAGTCCGAACAGGATACGGGAACAGTTACCGCGCGTCAGGGCCAGCGTTGCTCGAGGCGATCCGGCAAGGACGGTACCGCTATGGGCGAAAGATCTCCCATTGCTCTCCTCCCGCAGGAATTTATGACGCGAAAAATCTCGTTTCCTCCGCGGGAATTCCCGCTGATCGCCGATTCCTCGCGCGACACGCGCGTTCCGTTCCAACCTGCGGATCGTCTTTAAGAAAAGTGAGAAAATGTGGCAAACTGTTCGCTCGGAACGGACGCGATATCTATGGACATGAGATTTACAGAAAAAGACGTCTTTGCTTTTTTTCTCTCTCTTTTCCTCCGGAGTTGATTTTCCTTCGATAATTTTACGCAATTTTAAATAAATTTTTATTTTACACGAAAATTGGTTAAAAATTTAAGTTTATTTAAAATTAGTTGACAAGCATTCTTTGTTCATTCGCATCTGTTCATTGATAGCCCCGCATGTAGCGCGAACAGCCCAGATCCGAGAGCGCTGTATCGTGAGCTACATCACGAATTGTCTCTGCCGACAAATAGGGAAATTCTCATTTCCATGACTAATATTCGTCCGATCCAAATATTGGCGACGAGGGCGCGATCGATCGGGGGTAAATAAAGCCGCGAGGCGCCTCGACGTCGACGGGATCGGCCGGGGGCGATATAGCACGACATACTCCTAGATCCGAGCGTACGGAGGTCGTTGAATCCCATTAAGCGGTACTCTCCGATCGTTTCGCTGCCGACCACCTGTACGCCGACGTTCTTTTCGACCAATGTCGCCGTATTCATGTCTCTCCCTGCCCCTTCTTGCGGCGTACTCGCCAAGATATTGCGTCGAACGAACGACGAGGAGGAGACAGGCACCAGGATGAGAGCGATTACACTCCTCATCGTCGTCGTCGTCGTCGTCGTAGCTCTCATCATTTCGTTGGCGTCGTCGTCGTCGTCGGTGAATATCGCGCGCCATGGCTAGAATATTGCATTCTCCTTTTCTCGCGTAGTTAATGCGGCCACACCTTTCACCAACACCCAGCCCAGCAGGCTCTGGTCTGACTAGCGTGTTAGCTAGCTAGCTAGCTAGCTGGCTGGCTGGATGACTTGGCTTTTACCGATCGGAATAACCAGGCGCGGCCGCTTGACTCGATCGTTCGGTCGCCCGCTCGCTACGACCGGCTGTACGACGACTATTCGCGCGCATCTTGAGAGCCGCCTAACAGTAAAGTCTTCTCTCGCTTTGTTCCGTCGTCACACGGCTTCAACAATCAAAGAGAGAGAGAGAGAGAGAGAGAGAGACTTCGCGGGATTTTCATTATGCCCTCCCATTGTTTGCGGGAAACGCTGACGACTGCCCCTCTCAGATCTTGAAGGAGTCTTCGATACACCGAGGTGTAACTTGAAATATGATGCGCGTATATCTTTTCGCGCCATTATACAGGGATTGAAACTAGGGCTCAGACACAGATTCGAATGAACTGCGTGGTCAAACAGTTAAGTAGAAACGCTTGAAATTCAGATTCGCACAGCTCGTATAATTCAAACGGAACTGTAAATCGATTCGCAATGTCCGAAAGTTTAACCGCACGAACAGTTAGACATCAAGGAAAATTTGTGCGAAAATAGTAAATATTGTAAACAGGGATAACTAGTCTTTGTTCCATTTTTTTTTTTTTTGGTTGCAAAGTATCATTTTGCTTTATCTAAATTTAGAATTGAATTGTTCAATTATAATTGCGAGATCGAAATATTTATCACATATTAATTACAATTTATTTTCTTGTGTTACTTTTATAGGTTTACTTCATTATTTATCATGATATCTACTTTACTATTCAGTTTAATATTTTATCAGGTTTGCATATAAAATATCTGTTAGAATCCAGTTTCAGATCTTTAAAGTTTTATTTGTTCGAACATTCAAAAATGTCGAAACTTTCTTAGGTCTTTGCTGATGATTAAAA